AAAATTAAAAAGAAAAGTTAATGCCTGGCTTTTGAATATAGAAATTAATAAATTGTGTTTGGACCTGGTTATTAACTTGATCATTAATTAGCTTTATTATTTCTTCCTTTAAATCTTCTATTTCAGTACATATATTTTTTATTCTAATTATTTAGCTGTAAAAAGTGTTACCTATTATTTTTCTAGATATATTAGAGTTCCAATTAGTTAGCTTAATAGTATCAAACTGGAAATTCTCCTTTATCATATAATTTAATTTTGCTGTGTTTAATAATGAGCAGGTCTTATCTTTATTATTAGTTCTACTAAGTGTTGAACTATTTGGGTAAATTTTGAATTATTCAAAAGCAGAATTATTATTGAAAGTTAAATCATCAGTGTATCTAAATGTATTTGTAAATAACTTTACATTCTTATTCAAACTTAGTTGGAATTTATATTCATTAGCTAAAAGAAATGGTTTATATATTTGTTTAGAACTGTTTTCTCCCATTGGAATTCCTTTTACCTGCTGAAAGATCTTATTATTCAATTTAATGTAGTAATTTAATAATGCGCAATACAGGTAAGTTTTTCATCTTTCAATTCAAAGGATGTTAAGCATGTCAGGAAAAAGTTGTGGGAGTTGCATTAAACAAGTAAACATTTCTTCCAACGGTAGAGAACTATAAAGGTAAAACTATAAAGTCATAGCAGTTAATGTTCTTGATTTCTAAACTTTTCAATTTGTTGAGACCTGGAGTATTATTATAAATAATCCAACTATAGATGTGCTGCTTGTTAATTGTTGATGAATTAAAATACAGATTTTTTGAAGTTTAATTGTAAATATGTAATCTATATTCTTTTTATAATTATTTGCATCATTTGCTATAAATCTAAATTTGAGTGGTGATTTATGAAATTTAGGAAGAGCATAAAGATTTGCTAATCTATTGTAGTTAGATGCTTGTAAAATTTGTAGCTTCTTATGAATTGCATTTAGCTTTTTTGCAATGACATTTTCTTGTGTATTGGTAAGTTTGTAAGTTTGTAAGTAATGGCATTATTCAGTATGGCATTATTCAATTAATGAGATATTAAAAAATTTTCAAATAATGCTGAAATTATTACTGGCTTTGTCAATTTTGGCGATTATGAATTTTTGTTTCAAATCTTGCAATAGAGGATTGAGAAAATTCCATGGTAAATTGTTGTTAAATTCAATCCTTCGAATTCTTTGCTTCAATTCTTCTAACACTTCATGTTTCCAAGTCATAAAGGCAGACTTTGGAATATTTAATTTGTAACTAGTTTTAACTATGAACTCGTCGAGATGTTTTTCGGAACTTCTAAAATTGTAATTTTTGTCAATTTTTAATACTGGTCTAAATTTTGTGCCTTTTTTCCTCAAATTTCTTAAAGGTTGTTTTCGAACTATTGTTAAATTGCCTGTAACAATATGTTTATGAAATTCGTCTACGTAGTCTTTGTATGGAAGCTCTTTGCAGTATAGCATGGCAGTATAGTACTGTAGAAGCTAAGCATGGTGGTGAATCAGCAGTTTGCTAAGAGGTTTTTGATATTTGAAAGCTAGTGAGATTTGTACTTTAGTAGCTGGAAATGGTTGTTGACATTTTCTGAAAATTTTGTTGGACTGAATATTGTCATAGTTTGGATGTAGGAAGTTGATTTTGCAGTAATATTTATTGTACTTGTTATTGATAGAGAATTTATAATTGCAAAAGTCTGTAACAAGGTTTTTGATAATATTGTGTCCGGTAAAATGCTGTTAACAAATTTTATAAGAATCATTAAGAATTTGTGCTTACAAGTTTGCAACGAAGTAATGATATTTTTGGTTACAACCTCGAGCATAATCTTTTATTTTTACTATTTTATTTAGTCATCTTGAATTAATGTGGGCTTCATGAAAGAAATTTGAAGGCCGCGTACAACAGACTAGCTGCGGCTCGGGAAATGTTATTCTAGAGTGAAAAGAATGTTAATATGATATCATGTTTTGGATGTAGTGCAAAAGAAACAATGTCAGCTTTCCCAACAATGTGCAAAAATATTGGTCACTTAATCAAACAGTGAACTCTCTAAAAACCGATTCTTTTTAATACACCATACTTTCAATCTCTTCAAAAAAGGAGTTTGGCAAGCGTGTTATCCACCTCCCCCCTCGAAAAAAAGAATTACATCAGCTTCTCTCTTTCTTTTTTCTTTTCTTTAACCATCTGTCACTACCTATCGCACATCTTTTGGCACAAATGCGACCAAAATGAATGTGCGCCAACTTTTAATGATTACGAGTTCTGAGAACAAGAAACAATAACATTCAACTGTTACTAAATTAATTTTGCTTTATGTCTTTTTGTGGCCAAATAAAAAATATTCTATGCATGTTCTAAATTTTAGTGCTTATAAAATATGTCAGTATATTGTCAAAAGTATACATATCATTGTTATATAATTAAACACAAATGCAATCTAACACCATAATTTTAAAATCTATATAAATAAGTAAAGAAGAATGAATGTCCGTATATTGGTAATTCATACAAATCTACAGTTTTTGTCCGATCTTGATGAAAATTTGGCACATTTGACCTTTAAAGCAAGAGGAAAGTCACCTTCCACATAAAATTTCGAAAAAAAAAGTCCACGGATCTATACTATTTTTGTATACAAATTATGTGTGAATTTAATGAATTTTTGATTACAAACTCAGCGATTTAAAAGCTTTGTGTTATCACTCTGCAAAGCGTAGGCAAACGCAATGCATTTCCACATTTTAAAATAAAAATGGATATATATCTCATGATATATATCCATTGTATTTAAATGTAAAATACTTTTATGAAATGATAGTAGCTACTCTGATCAAAATCTTTTTTATTTTCTACAATAATAATTTTAGACGGCTGGTTATAAAAAAGAAAAGTATATATATAATGATTTTGATGAATACAGGTACAGTTAGTTCACAGAAATTTAGTTAGTAAATAATAATAATTAGTAATTAATGTTCACATTGGGTAAAATGTATGTTTAATTAATAATCAATTAGTAATAAATAATAATTGAAATAAATCTCTGTTGTTTTTAAATCGCTTAGTTTGTTAGCTATTAGTATGATAAATTTGAAATAAAAATTAAATATTATCTTGCTCGTTCTTTGCTGAACAACGACCCCACTGCTGCCTGGACGATAAAACTATTTAATTCGGGCAGCGGAAAACAATCTTTTGAGTTGACAGTTTTTTTTTTCATGAAATTCGAAAGAGAAACATATTGCGTTTTGCTGAATAGTAACAATTGACTTTCAAATTGCTGAGTTTTTGAATCAGTGTGAAATATAAAAAAGTCTTACGTTTTGCAAAGTGGTATTGCAATATTTTTAAACTGCTTAGTTTTTATTAAAAAGTTTCTTAAATTCGCTCCAAATATGAAATATAAAGCAAATTAGAAATTCAAAATTCGAGCTTCGTGGAGCACATGTTTGTGTGGAGAACTTGCATGTGTTCAAAAGTGAGTGTTTGTGTGGCCGTTTTTCCACAATGTAGGGATCACACGTACATGCATATACATACATATTCATCACTATTTAATAGTAGGATTTAGGATTAAACTTGTTGCTATGATTCATTTTAATAACCTTGTTACTATATCAAAGTAAATATTTAGCATATTATTAAAATCAGCCTTCAGTGCTTTGAAACCAAAACTGCAGTAAAGATTGATTATGTTATATATTTTTTACTAATAGAGCATAGCATTTTTATTAACTGAATTTTTCACTTTTTCGTATATCTTTGGAAAAGAACATTTAAGAATTGAGGAAAAGAGTCTTAGAAATTTCTTTCCTTAATCTTAATTGAAAAACTTTAAAATTATAAATCTTTAATAGTCAACAGCTAAATATTTATAAATGCTTTTTTGTTAGCAAAATAAAATAATAATTTACCTATAAAATTTATGTTTTAAATATAAAAGAATAATTTATTTGAGAGTTTCATTATTCAACAAAAATGGGTATAACATTTTCCTTTATTTACACTAGGTGCATAAAATGGGGATAATATCTGCAACAAAATATTTGTACGTTACTTTATTCTTTTTATTACTCTAAAACTGTTGACAGTATTCAGTTATGGGCAATAGGATTTCTACCGCTCAATGTAGTCTCCGCCTTCCCTGAATGCTGTGGCCTGGTTTTTATAGAATTTTACGTTCCCTAAATTCTGTTGTTTGGTTCGGCCGCCTTGGTAGCATCGATCATGATGACGTTGATTCTATCAAGAGTAGTGCGGTAATTTTATTTCGAGGAAAAGTAAAGTAAAATTTGCTGGGAATTCGTTACATTACAATACGATAATACATAATACATTTTTAGGGGAACTTTTCATTTATAAACCAGCAAAATTTAGAAATGTTTCTTACTTTGTTAATTTAAATTTATATTATCATATAATTTGGCACTGTTTTTATTCCTTATTCTCTACAGATTTTCTTCATTAAGTGGTCAGAATCTTTTTTTTTTAGTCCAGAAGGTGTAGTCTGATCTCGAAACAACGATTTTGCGTTGATTCACTTTAAATGTCGTTCCCTATCAATACTTTGTTCACTTTTCATTCGACTCTGTTTCCATTAAATAAACTGTAAATTCCATTAAATATCTTTCTGATTTAACGGAAACGTTCAAAATAGATATAATATACCTATAGTAAATTTCATTATTTTAACGATATTATCGTTGAAATGATATGATACCTGAAAACGATAAAACGATATTATCGTTGAAATGATATGATACCTGAAATTTTTCGCGATTACAATACTTCTTTTATTTATGTAAGGAAATAAAAATCCCATTCCGGCCTGCAACAAAATTTTACAGAAGGGGAAAACAAAATGATATGGTTTATTACAACTGTTTTTGGAAAAAAAAAAAAAAAAAAATATAGTCTATTTCTCCCCCCTCCCTTTTTATGTTAAAGATTTGATTTTCTCACCTCTTTTCTCTCCAGCGGGAAGACGTTGGACCATTAGTCGGTGAAAGTCTGCCTCCTATTTTTCGTTTGCTTCTCGTAGTATCCAGATCGCCCTCGTTGCTCAGGGGGGCCGTAGGTTTGGGAAGAGTCCAGAAAGACGCATCATCATACAGACACAGATCCTTGGACCTGGTAGTCTCCTCAGTATTCCTGGACAACTTGTTCCTGTTGGATTCCTCTGCGCTGCGCGCCAGCATTTTCTGTTTCCGCTGCTCAATTCTGCTGTTGATGACATCTTGCACCTCTTCATCCAAAGCATACGAGGAGTTCAGAGTGGTGCTAAGTTTACTTTCGAATGTCGAATCTCTGATGATGTCTTTCAAAGAAGATGGAACAGAAGTTTGTCTGGTGAATCCTCGGGCTTCCCTTGTGTTACCACTGCTGTCGCCGCCTGGAGCGGGAGAGGAGGTCAAGTTGGAACCGGAAAATGTCGTGAATGCCAGATCGGGCCTGTCAGAGCGGAGCTGGGTCTTGGACAGTGACTCGGAGTATCGTTTTTCAATGTCCGACAATGTGTCCGAGTACAAGCCAGTACCGTATCGATAATTGTCATTGTAGATGGAAGTGTATGGTCTTCGCCAAGTGCTTGCACCTCTAGGAGCCATCACAACAAAAGCGTTGTTTAGGTTTGGTTTTGGTTTCTAGGATAGACACTGACGATAAGTAAGATTTCGCTCGTTTTGACCCTGAGCTCCAAATTACGTCTTGGCCCGATACTCCAATTCTCCGCGCTGCCAGGAATTTTCTTCCTCCTCCTCCTTCTTTTCTCTTTTGCTATTTTGTTGTGCAACTAACGTATACTTTGTCGCACACCGCGTACGAACTCCAGAGTCGAATATTTATCGCGCACCTTGGCATCGTTGGCTTAACTGAGACTGTTTGTTTCAGAATAGCAGTTTCAGATATATTCAATGTCAACCCAAATTTATGTTGTCAGTAATAATGTTGAAAGTTTCTTATCAGCTTTAATTAATTTTTATGTATATTTACTGAGAAACAGATTTGAAAGTAAAAAGAATCTTGTGTAATTACATTTTGCTTTTATCTCGTCCTTACCCACGGATTATAAATTTACCGATTTTTTCAGTTGAAATTAATTCGATAAAATTGTCATTGAAAACAAGTTTACCGTTAATTTACATGTACCTTTTCCTTTTTTAAAAAATTCTTTTTAACAAATATCAAAGTAAATAATGCAATTGCAGAAGTTTTCTTCAAAATTTATCAGGCGCTATAAAACGTGTGAAAATAAATTAAATTCTGAGTATAAAACATAAAATTATGTATCATAAAAATAAAAACGTATAAAAATATTCTAATAGGGTAAAATAGTTTCATCTTTATTGGAAATTGAAGCATTTCCTTTATCACTTCTATCAAATAATGAAGAATCTGTTTCTATGTTCCTCGCACTGCTGAAGGGCTAATAGTCTCGAAATGAAACTTTGTGTCGATTCATTATATAAATGCGTCGTATCACTTTTCATTCGAGTTTGTTGCCATTCGGCAAAACGCAAGATATTCATTTTCCAGATTGAACCTGTCTCTTGTGGATTAACAAATTAAGCTGCTTGAAAGTAATAGTTGCAGTTCTTAAGCATATATTTCTTACTTTTGAATCGGATTGATTTAAGTAATAAAATGTTTTTAATTCATGATCTGTCTAATTAAAAAATATTCAGTATTTTCAGGTAATGACGTTTTATATTTATTATTATTTATTTCGTATTTTGTAAAACTTTAATAAATTTTTGATTAGCAAAATCAACGATTTGAAAGTGAGCAGTGACAACACTGTACGAAACAAAACATCTTTATCTCTAGCGCAAGAGATTGTCTATCGGAAATTCTAAATATATGCTGTTTTTAAATATTTTGTGATTTTGCTGTTGATTCTAATTTTATATGGCGTAAGTGCGATGAACGTGAAATTTAATATATAAAGTTAACATACAAAACGTTAATAATAAAAGAAAAAAAAAGTTTTCCAATCCATCCTGTTAAGAAAACTGAACATTGATTTAACAAACTGAGAAAAGACTGAAAAAAAATGGAAAAATATATCTCAACGCTTAACGCTGCACCGGGAATTCTTAACTTATGCTCTTAGTATGCTTTTAAAATTTTTGTGAATTTGCCGTTGAATTGTAAATGACCTAAGTGTGAAGGAAACGGTGTTTAATAATAAAGCTAAATAGGTAAAAAAAAAAAAAAAAAAAAAAAAAAAAAAGGATTAGCAGGCGTGAGTGCAACAGCAGACTGGTAGACTGCGAGTTCGGGGGCAGCGTATAAAACCTTGACAAACCCTTTTAGGCTACCCTTGAAATCTAAAACCTTCAGATTTTTTGCCCAAAGAGGCGTTAGCTTAGAAGGGCTATTAGCCTCGAAGCGGCATTATGCGACGAATCACTAAAAGCGTTGAATCGCTTTTCAAATTCTTGTCACCAAACATTATCTCCCTGTATTGTATTTAAAGAAATTCAATAATAAAGAATCTGCATAAATGTATGTATGTATGCTTCTAGCACTGTGAAAAAACAAGGCTACATAGAGCCATCAAATTCTGAATAACATAGTCCTCTACCCGAATATGGGCACCTGGAAACCCAAGTCTTGAATTTCAAATTTGTTTTATTATATATTTCATATTTTTTAAAACTTTAACGAATTTTTGATAAAAAGAACTCAACGATTTCAAAACTGTATGGAATAAATTTTTTATCGCCAGCGCAAGAGACTGTCTATAAGCTAAGGGGGCGTTAACACAAATACTCTCGAAACGTGTGTGGGCGTGTAAATGAAATAATGCCCTTTGGGCGTAATATAAAATCTGAAAACATTCAGATTTATTTTTATTATTTCACATTTTGTGGGATTTTAAAAAACTTTTAATTAATAAACTGAGCGATAGGAAATGGAGCAGGGTCTGAAATAAAACAGTTTTATTTGTAAAGAGAGAGGCCAAATGTAAAATGCCTTTCAATTTTATTCATCAAGCTCGGCTATTTAAAAGCTGTACCTTAAATAAAATACGTTTATCTTCGACGAGCCAGCGAACTGCCATTCAGTAAAGCGTAAGATATTTAACATAAAATTTAATCTGTCTGATATTCAGTAACAAACCAAACGATTTAAGAACAATAAACGCAGTTCTTGAGATTATATGTATATCTTAAGAATACTTCCAACTTGTTTCGAGGGATCTGTTAATTAATTTAGAATAATTCGAGGAAATATGTTTAAATGAAGTGCAGCAGAAAGTGTGTATAATTTAACAGAGCGTTCAAGGAAGTCATGTGGTATCCACATCAGATTATTTATTCCTCAAATCGTGTGTTATTACGATATTCTCGAGCCGCACCTTTAATATTTACTTTTGATTTAAAAGAAAATATTAGCGAGTATAAACCTCGGATAGCTTATCTAGCATCTAAAATACATTTAGCTGTCTGGAGATGTAAAAACAGCTAAACACTGAGACAAAATTTTTAGTATCGATCAAAAGGAACATTAAGCACCTCTTATCAGCTGCCACTATCGGTTAGTTGCCTGCACTAATAGTATCACTGTCCCACAGGATGTCATAGTCGGAACCATCTAGAGCAGGGATATCAAAACTACAGCCCGCGAGCACTATGAATTTACAGTGAGTGAAATACAGTAATACTTTATTAAAAAATTTTATGTGAAGGTCACATGAGTTTCTTTCTTCCACATGACTAGCCTATTAAATTTTACACATTTTTTTTGCATTTTATTAAAATTGATTTCCTCGAATTAGTTTAACTTAATTAACTGATTCCTTGATTCAAGTATATTCGTAATGAAAATAAAACTTTCCTAAATATGAGCACAGGAACCGGGAGACTACATTAAAAGTAAGATTTCGTTATTTGTCCAAAACTATTATTATTTTTTTTAAATTTTAGATTGCTAAAACATGAATATTTTGGTCCTTTAAAGTACTTTCGTAACTGGAAGTAATAACTACGACCAACGATTGCGAAGATAAAAGCCGACTCCAAACCTTTTATTAATGTATTATTTTTTTCTCTATTTTAATCCTTGCTTTTTACAAAATAAATATCATCAAAATATTCCTTGTAATAAAATAATTTGTGAGGCTGCTGGTCATAGATTTTTGTTTTACATAAAGCTGCATTATCGTCTGCATTTGGAAATTATTACTTGTTTAACGAAATATATTAACAGTCCCATATATGAAGTCAACATGACAAGATGCTACAAACTAACGATAATTCTGTTAGAAGTTTAACTAGTTATCATTTTAAAGATAATTAATTTTAAAGTATTCAAAGTATCCAAAAGCTCCTTGGTGTAAAGTCTTCAACTATAAGGTGTTTCCCTCGCCTTCTTAGCACGCCTTCGTGGTCTAATGGCCAGCATACTCGGCGCGTCTTCGAGAGGTCTGTGGTTCGAGTCCCGGAGAGGGCATTGCTCATTTTTCATCTCTTCTGCTTTAAAAAAAATCCTAATATCTCTACACAACTATCTTTGATGTTATAAAATTATGGAATGGAACTGTTAAAAACGCACTGAAATCTGGACCATATTCCAAGCAAATGTGAAATAAATGATGTAGGAAGGCAGAAGATTTATCTTAATTTGGTCAACAAACACGCGATTTAAAAAAAATATGTTGTCACTGCCGGGGTTAACATATTTTCATATTCCGCTCAGCGGTATGTTCTCCTTCAGGAAAGGGTATGGTAATATTATTTAATTTTCTTTCCAATTTATTCTATTATTAATTAACATATTAAGGGGTTTAAAAGCAATAAAGACAGATTTATTTCAATGTTTTTAATGACTAGTTGAACCTCTGAAATGACATTACGTGGATTTATTAAAATCATTATATAAGTTTTTTCTTTTCTATATTAACTATATTTTAGGCTGTTGGCTGCTAGAGTGCCTGGTATTAATTTATTTTACAAAATGAAAAGTATACACGTATACATTTGTTATTGTAAATGCCTTTCTTATTCGAGCAACGCCTTTTTCGAATGATCTTTGCCAAATGGAGCGATCGTAAGCCTCTGCTGATTAGCCTAACTGCGATTGTTATCCTGAGTTCATCATTGTTCCTCGGTTTATTAATAAATACTTTGATAGTAGCAGAGAAAGTAGTAATATTGACAAATTTGGAGACCATGTAAGTCCCCCTTCTTCAGAAATCCAGTCATAGAGATTACAGTGATACCTCGGTATACGTCACTAATCGGTTCTAAATCCTTGAATATATACCAAACGAACTTTTTCAATAAAAAGCCAAAAGAAAATAACATACAATGGTTGGAATATATATAGTGTACATAAATGAAGCTCTGTCCATGATACTGTACATAAATGTTTTTCTGCTGTCTAAATCAAAAGCAATTTTTCAATACCCTCTCATGTGTCTGATCTTTCTTTGGTAACCAGTTTGACCATCCTAGCAACGTTAGCCGATTTAATAGCATCTTTGCTTTCCACAGTCGCAGATATACGATCGTACTTGACGCACGGTATGCAGTAGCCAAGTCACAGATAAGCCAGCTTTATACTTTTGAAGAATCTCATTTTTCACCTCCGTGGTGATATTAACAATTTTTTTCGCTCCTCTACTCTTCTCATTAACTTTCCTAAAACTCATTGCTATTGAATTTACAAAACATTTTCCCGGGAAAAAAAATACAGAATCACTTGCATATTCATAGTTATACTCAGGTTGTTTACTGAATAATAGCAACGATCGTACTGCCGCTCATGGACAGTTGCAGCATTGTCTCGAAAAATGTAAACACCTGTAGTGGATA